TAGACACTGGTGAGTCTGTCTAATTCGGATGCCGATTGTAAAAGCTTGTCGCAGATACATGGCAGTGGTCCGAGCTCACTGGTTTTGGCGAACTTCCCTGCGCTCGGGACTTTGCTGCCGGGGCGTCTGTGGGGAATGGAAAGATTGTCATGTGAGTGTGTTCACGGGAATCTCTTTTGCTACGTTTACCACTCATCTTCTTGAGCAGATATGGCGGATGGGATGGCTCGAAATGGCTCTCAGATGTTTTTGTGCTCGACACCAGTAAGTTCCAACTTCACAAACATCTAGACTGATCATCATTCTCATTTCAGTGTCTCTGGAATGGAGGCAGCTACCAGTAGTCGGTCCTTCACCTCCTCCTAGATGTGGTCACACGGCTACGATGGTCGAGAAACGGCTGCTCGTTTTCGGTGGAAGAGGTACGTACGACGCACAGGAGGTGCGATTCGAGGACCAGACATGCTTACCATGTTTCCTGCAGGTGGTGGAGGCCCTGTTCTTGGTGACCTCTGGGCCCTGAAAGGGCTGTTTGACGAAGGTGACTAGAGCTAGTTTTGCGTTTGATGACTTGTATCCTGATTACTAATGGGACTAGGGAAGAGAGAGAGCCCGCGGCGTGGACTCTTCTCAAGCTTCCGGGCTCGGCTCCAGCTCCTCGCTGTGGACACACGACGACAAGTGGAGGCCCGCAGGTGAGTGACACTATTCTCCATTTTGTTTTCTTTTTCTAAGCATTCTATAAGTTGCTTGTCTGTGTTGTAGTTATTGGTTTTTGGAGGTCATGGGACAGCTGGGTGGCTAACCCGTTATGATATCTACCATAACGATTGTATCGTTCTTGACCGAGGTAGCTTGTTTTCTTGTGCACAAGTCGTCCGTGCCTTTATGCCATTGTGTGTGTAGCCTCTGTTCAATGGAAGCGTCTCTCCGTGACCAATGAACCGCCTCCGGCTCGGGCATACCACTCGTTAACGCAGATCGGCTCCCGCTTCCTCCTCTTCGGTGGCTTTGACGGGAAATCGACGTTTGGAGATACTTGGTGGCTTGTGCTTGAAGGTCAATTGTCACTGTCGATTATGTGTGGACGCCTCGTGACACAGTGGTCTTGCAGATGATCCCATTTCCAACCGTGTCTCGTCGCCCTTGGTTGCTACTTTGCCAGATGTAGGCAGTGACAATAACGTATGTGTTGGCAACCATGTAGTCGGTTGATTATCTTCCACTTGTTTTTGCAGGCTAGAGACGAGGAACAACTGGTATCGCCATTCAACATACTGAGAAGTCGCATAGGCCTTCCTCCTGCAAAACCAGCCGTGCATGAATCCATCAAGACTGAAGGTGCTTTGAATGACTTGGCCCAAGCCATAGATCCTCATGGCCGAAGCACGCTAGAGGTAAGAAAACACATGCTTCTTGTCGCTGCTCACAGTGTCGAATATTTTTCAGTCCTTGCGCGAGCACTGGAGAAACTGTGACGCCCGTTCGATTCGTTTCAAAGAGCTGGATATCCTCTTGAGAGATTACCAATGGTTGATTGCCACCGAGGAAAAGTATGCCGCCAAAACTCCTCTCGCTTTTTTCTATCGTCCGGGCTTTAAACTTTATCTTTCTTTATGAAACACAGGGAAGGGAAAAGATCGGGAGGTGTAGAAAAAATCAAGGTGCACCGCTTTTATCATCTCCAAACATCAAACCAGGTATCGACGCCTGTGATTTTTGCAAAATTCTTGAATCCTTGAACTCACCTTAGAATGGATAAATTTCCAGGTGAGAATTGACGACATTGGCCCGCTCTTGATGGAGTACAAGCAGCTCCTTGACACCCGTGTTTGAAGGTGTAAGGAAAAGAAAAAATAAAACTCTTTTTTATATATCGAGCTACTTAACACACGCTTTTTTCTTTGTAGTTGGACTTTTCCTTGAGAAATTGGTAGACGAAGCTTTGTTCTCGGCGAGAAAATCTGATCAAAGGGAATATGGTGTTTTAGGGAATCGAGCTCCCGACGTATTTACCACCCGGGAAAAAAGACGGGTTTTCATATGAGTGGTGGTCCCTTGCGCTTGTCCGGAAAAATGTTGCAACTCGCCAAGTCCCCTCCAATTGGTAAAAGAGTTCTTTAAAGACATACGAAATTGGGCCATATGGCGCTCGTCTCATCGACTGGGTGGAAGAGTACGGTAGGGGACTGTGGATGAAGATAGATGGGAAGGGGTGGAGGGGAATGTGGCGCTTTCTAGATACTCAAGCCGATTCGCTCGATTGCTAGCAGAGGGTGGGATTCCGTGGGCGCTATGGAGTAAGCTGGCCATCTCCAAGGATCTGGTGTGTAGCGCCGTGTTCCAGGCGAGGTTCTGTGCTAGGGGTGAGATTTGAGTGTTGATTCGCGATGTCCAGGAGTTCTGTGGTGTAGGTCTGCCAGGGGTGAGATTTGAGTGTTGATTCGCGATGTCCAGGAGTTGTGTGGTGTAGGAAGCCGAGATTTGGAGGCATAGGGGTTTTTTGACCGGGGAGAGATGGTTGAATCCACCAGGAGGCGGGTGCCTGACGATTCCAGGGGCCTGCTGTGCTGCATCGACGACGTCCTGGAGAAGATCTTTGGCTACATCAAGAAGCCCGTGGAGAGAAATGCTATCTCGGCTGTGTGCAAGCGGTTTCACGAGCTGGAAGCTCGGACGAGGCATCATGTCCTGGTCTACAACATGTACGCTGTCAACCCCATGAAGCTGTTCGAGCGATTTCCCAGCGTGAGATCGATTACCATCAAAGGGAATCCTCGGCTCGTGGATTTCGACATACTCCCCAGGGATTGGGCCGGCCACGCAGGACCTTGGATTGCAGCTATCAAAGCTCATCCCCAGCTTAACCGCTTCCGGATCAAGAGGATGACGATCACCGACTCTCAGATCGAGGAGCTCTGTGCTGCCTGTGGTCCCAACCTCAAGATCATGCAGTTTGACAAGTGCTCCGGCTTTAGCACCCAGGGTCTCCAAGCACTCGCCAAGTTTTGCAAGTAAGTTGTCGCTTTTGGTTTCCTACTCTTCCTCTCTTCCTTTGTGTTTCTTAGAGCTCATTCCAAGTTCTGATTTTTTTTCTTTCTTTTTCTAGGAATCTTACCCACTTGGGACTTGCACAGTCGATGATTGATAGCACTAGTGATACCAAATGGCTCAAGGACCTGGTAAACTCGTGTCCCGCTCTCGAATACCTGGACTTGTCACTTATAGAGATGGGCGACGTGGATGAAGCGGTGCTGGTGAAGTTGGCCGAGCGTTGCAAGCTGCTTAAGCTGTGGGAGTCCGAGACTCAAAACTCCGAGCGGTTTTTGCCTGTGCTGCAAAAGTGCTCTTCCAACTTAAGTGACCTTGGGATCGAGCGGATCAACAGCAACTCCGAGACGTCGTTACTGGCGAAGTGTACTGCACTGGAGGGGCTGTCCGGCATCTTCGATCTAGTGGACGATGGAATGCACGCTTTTATGTCGGTCAGTTCTCGTTTGACGAGGCTCGACCTTTCTTACTCCAACCTTACCGAGGTGGAGATAGCGGAGGTGCTTCGAGCCTGTCCTAACCTGCAGTATCTTCGGGTAAGTGTTTCAACTTTCCAGGTCCAGGTCTCATTGATCACCTCCATGTTCCTTTCATGTTTCCAGGTGTTAGACTTGGCTGGAGACCACGGGTTGCAAGCGCTGGGGAACTCTTGCAAAGACTTACACAGGCTTGTCGTTGAGAGTCCTTCTGCAATTGACGGTGGGGTGGTGACACACGCCGGCCTTATGGCTGTTGCACAAGGCTGTAGAAACCTGCAGAAGCTCATTTTCTATCCATCTTTCATCACCAACGAAGCGTTTTATGCGCTCGCTTACAACTGCCCGAACTTGATGGACGTGCGAATATGTCTCATCCAGTCAAGTAGCACTGGCGAGAACGTAAGTTACTAGTGTGTTTGGAAGCTCTTACATTGATATTTCTCGCAGATGCCATGGGAGTGCCTGGACGAAGGGGTGACCGCACTCGTCCGGGAATGCAGATCGCTCTACCGATTGACGCTCTGCTTCGACGTCCAGGCGGATGTTGAGTTCCTCACCGACGCGGGCGTGGCTGCAATTGGCGAATATGGAAAGAAGATCAGGGTGCTGACCCTTGTCCACTGTGGCAGCAGCGACATGGGATTGGTACCAGTTCTTCGCGGCTGCAACAAACTTCAGAGGCTTGAAATCCGGAAGTGCCGTTTCGGTGATGAAAGTGAGTGGTAACTATGTGGGGACGCGAAACTAACACTGGTTTCTTACGCAGGCATGCAAGAAATCGCTTTGAACAGCGAGCTGCATCTCAAGCACTTGTTCGTCCAAGGGTGTGAAGTGACGATAGATGGGCTCAGCAGCCTGGCTTACCGGGCCAAGCACACAAACTCGAGGTTCTACGTGGAAGTGATTGGCTGTAAAGACGGGCGGTGCCTGGAGGAGCACAGGTACTCGTGCACGGACGAGTCTTGCGAGAACCACCACGCCTTCTCGCTCAGCTGCTCCCACTGGCAGATCCTGGCATACCATTCACTCACAGAGCCCCGCGACGACACTCCATGGTTTATCCACCGCTTCGACTCGATTCTCTCCGAGGCTTCTTCGCTGCCTTTCACAAGAGCTGAACCAGGAGGCGCTCTTCAGCTCATGCCAGAGAGCAGTAGCGGTGGGATTGATCTTGATCTGAGCACCGGCGGGATCGATCTAAACGAAGACTCGTCGGAGCCGCTCCAGCTGATGCCGGAGAGCAGTGGCAGTGGCGGCGGTGGTGGCAGTGGTGGGATTGATTTGAACGAGCCAGCGGAGGAGAGTTGCTCGTCATTCCCAGGATTTGAGAGGAAGGAAGTCTTCCACTTTCCCGACATTCTGGAGCGCGTAGCGGCAGAGCCAACGTTGCACTTGGGAGCTCCATTGGTGCTCCAGGCCTCCTTACTGTGATTTTCTCTCGCGAGACCATGTATTTCTATTTGTGTTTGAAAGAAAGGAAGTTCCTAGCTTATCAAGAGCCCTAGCTAGTTCGCTATGGAGCTCTATTATGCGTCCTGCGCGGCGGGGATCGAGAGAGTGCTCGTCTCGGAGGTAATCTTTTTCCTCTTTCATCGATCCATTCATCCCAAATCGCGACCACTCCAGGTTGAAAGGCTACCAGGGACGAGAATCGAAGAGGCTACAGTGAGCTTTTATGGAGGCATTCTTTTCCAAACTGAATCGTCGCCAGAGGTCGAAGAGAATTCTTTCTCGTGATTGGCTGACATTGTTGAGTGAATGGTAGGATGTTTTCAAGCTTAGAGCGGCAGACAATGTGTACGCTTATCTCGGACACTTCAAGGTGTGTGTGTGATTTCGTAAGTTTCAATAGAGAAAAAGAAGAGGTATAATTGACATGAACTTGTTTGAAAGGATGTTCCTGTGGACAAGGATGGCGCTCTTTCTTACTTGAAAAGCTTGGCTTCCAAGGTAATGTAACTCAAATCACTCAGAGCTCACTGCGTTTTGCAGATTTCATGGGAGCCGGCTTTGCTGCTCTTTCGAAAGTGGCAGGCGATGCAAGACAGGGTGCTACAATCACCGCTTACGTTTCGAGTAACCTGTGAACGGAAGTGCCTCAAGATGAAGAAACACCCATTCTCGTCGGTGGATGTTGCAGGTATGTTCGTTTTCATCAAAATGACAAGAAACGCAGTGCGGCTTTCACTTAATCGCAGCTGCGCTGGGAGAAAGTGTTTATAATCTCCATAACTGGCCGGCGGACATGAGGTGCTATAACGGTTTGTGTGGATGCCTGGTTTTGCCTCGTCTTCAAGTACATTGTTTGCAGTGGAAGTGTTTGCATGGCTGAGAGATTCCGAGCTTCTTGTAGCGATTGGACTTCTCTACGGGTAAGAGATAAACGTTTTTGTTGTTTTATTCTACCTGGTTCGTCTTCTTCTTTCGCTCTATAGTAAACCAACCGAGCAAGTTGTCGATGGCAGGAAAGCTCCTAGGCCCAGTCGTTCAGATTCTCAGGTCAGCAATCACGTTTTTTCCTAGCATCTAGTGTCCAATTCTGATTTGGTGATCTCGTTTAGCTCTACTCAAAAAGGCTCTACAGAAAGGCGCTGGTTCCAACGTCCTTGAGGCCTAGGTGTGTGTGGCGAGCTTTTGCCGAGATTTATACTGCTTGAGCCGCAATTGTGACAGTTTTTACCGCAGTGTGGCGTATGCTCTTGTGCAACTTGGACACATCAAATGCGGAGACGTCGTTCTGGACCCCATGTACGTGAATTATATATTGTGATTGTTTTCTATTCTACGGTGGTGTGCTCCCTAGGTGTGGATGTGGAACCATACCTCTAGAAGCGGCGGACTGCTTTCGTGGACAACTTTTGTGCTTGGGTGGGGACATTTCTCCGTGCGCTGTGGCTGCAGCTGGAGAAAATGCTCGAGGTATTCTTGAGCTCAACTGGTTTGTTGCTTTTCTTCTTATTACAGGAAGTGACGCATGCGATATACTTCAGTGGAATGCTACCTTCATGCCTGTGCGATCCGGATGTGTGGACTGGGTCATCTGTGACATGCCCTTTGGTGTTCGCTGTGGTAAGAGGTCTCACACTTCACGCATGGCTGTGTTTGATTCTGTGTTTTGTATTAGGAAGTACACAGGCTCGCGATTGGCTTTGTCCAAAAGTTACTCTGGAGGTAATTTACTTTGTATTTTCTTTCTCCTTGTTTGATGTGTGGAAAAACTTTGTTTTGCTTTAGATTGCACGCGTATTAAGACAAGAGACTGGTGAGTCGGCATAATTTATTTACGCCTTTCAGATCGGGAGTTCCCTGTGCCGCAGGTGTTGCTGTTCTTATGTCGCAAGGCAAAGCAATGAAGCAGGAAATGGAGAACACAACATACTTGAAGCTTTTGCAGCAATACGAGGCTGACATGGAGGTGAGCTTCTACTTGTAGCAACGAATTTATCACATGTTGTGAATGCAGGGAATTCTGGTGGAAATATACATAGCACAACGAACATCACAACCGATCCAATCTCTAGTAAGACTGCATTTTGTTTTAGAGAATTATCTATATCTTGTAGTTTGACAGGAAAAAGTTAGTCAAAAGGCACCGTGCAAATTGAAAGAAATAAAACTACTTTGCTCATGGCCCTTTAGGTTTGAAGGTGGGTTTTATATTTATAAACTTTCATTTGATTAATAAGATCAATAAATAAAACTAATACTACTATTAAGCAAATTAAATATTGCTTCATGCAACACACAAAAAATTATTATTTTAATAGAGGAAATTACATAAGAGAAAGCTAAAGACTCAACTGAAAATCTTGCTATTGGTGCACTCTACACAGTGAAATTGCATGGCAGAGTGTCTGCAAAAGGAAAACATTCATTCATTTATTCATCTGTTTTTTACATGGACCAATGGATTATGGTATGCAGTATGGAGAAGTTGTTGTTGTTTGCTATGAGAAGGGTGGATTATTATGCAGCTTGGAGAATTGTTGCTGCCATTTGCTGGTAGATGTCCACTGTAGTGTTGAGGGATATTGGCTTTTGCTTCATAGAAAAATTTCCTACAAAGTTTATAGGCACTATTGTTTTCACAACCTCCAACTTGAGCTGACAGCCTTTAGGCACCTAATAACATTATTAGTGAGTGAAAGCTTTAAAACATCTAAACTATGGACTAGCATAGTATTGTGAAGCACTTCAACAATATCTCCATTAAATCTAACCTGACACAACACACTTTGCTTATTGATTAATCCTACATGTTGCATGTAGCAATGCTTGATTTGCTTAATAGTAGTGTGATCTCTACTTATTAATCCAATTGATCAAATAAAAGTTTATAATTACAAGCATGTTTGTAATTTATAAACACAAGATTAATCTTATTACATTAGATGGTAGAATAAAATAGAAATATAAAATATACTAGAAAGTGTTTAAGAAATTTTATAAATTATAAATACAAAATTAATCTAAATGAATAAAAACTATTAGATGGTAAAATATCCTAGAATGTCCAAGCATATTCTAGATATATCCACTACCATCCTAATCCCCTTACAAATTTGCTTAAGTAAACTAAAAAGGAGAAAATATCACTTTTTAAGGAAAACCACTTAAAAAGAATGCTTCAATCCCTTGTTCTGTCTTGGTTATCCAATAAGTCCAGATATAGATGAAAGCAAGATTTAACTATCTCAAATAACAATTTATAAAACTTTTTTTGTTGTCTCACAAAAAAAAGTGATAGTATTTTAGTACACTGAAAAATTTGTTAACTAAATTTAGTTATCAGTTAGAATTTTTTTATTGATGTGCATATTTGTTCATATTCCATTTAAAATGATAAATTAATAATTTAGATTAAAATTGTGAATTATATGTTTCAAAAGTATAACATTTTTTTTTCACATTATGAAAGCCATAAAATTTATTAACAATTAATTTATTATTTCTTACTTTAATAAAAATCTATTAATAGTTAAATGCATTTTTAAATATAATGAGTGTCTCTAAACCAATTCCAGCCCAACTGATTACATTGTTGAAGACTCATCTTGTAGCGATGGCAGAGTGGAAGGCGATTGTATGGCTTGCTTCAGATACTCTGTAGCATAATAAAATATACTGGCAAGGTCGCAGGTTCGATTTCAGCAGCCAGAGAACCCTTTTTCATAAACGGGACAAAGGTCTTCTGGAGCCAGCAGTTTGGTGTTTTCTCGCCATCAATTCAAATATGTAGAAACAGAGGAGCTCTCGAGAAGAATTATCTTTCTCGTGTGTGATGTGTGCAGTTCGTCGGCTTGCTTGGACAATTATAATGGTCTAAATAATCCTCAGAATTTGTGCACTGCTCCCACATTTCGTTCTTATTGTATTCTACTCGATTGTTTTCTATATTTTCTTTGTTCTCGTGGAAGGTCTTTTCCTCATTGTTTTAGGAGTTTTTTTCTTCTCTTCTAGCTTTGCTTGCGGCTCCAAAATGCTTCCGCTTCACCGACTACGTCAGCACTGGGAAGGGACAAACGTGGAGTAGTGGTTATCGAACCAGCGAAGCAATTCCATTCGTTTCGTATGAGGTTGCGGATCACATTGCACTTCACAAGATTCCGTCATTCTCTGCGGCCAGCACGCTTTCATTGTCTCGTGGAGACATGTGTGGTCTGTGGTTATTTGAATTTTTGTGCGTAACATAGCAAAACTTTTCTTCAGGACCTCGAGTGTCCACTGTTGGCTGGCGTGATCCCGTCCAAATTCATACTGGATCAATGAAGGATTTATTGCTCAACACAAGGTAAATCACTATCTCCAATGTCATGTTTATTTATTTGACTTCTGCAATAGCTATCGCGTTGGTCATAAGTTATCAGATAACTCGGTCGTGATGAGTCCGATTAAATATTTTAAATCTCCTCCAATTCCTGGCGAAGACTGGTTGTCATCTTTGGAGATCTGGCAAAGGCGGCTATATATTCTCTCTCTTTCTCTCTCTCTTCTAACGGATCACACAGAGCGAAAGAGATGGATCAATGATGTACGATGATTTCAGTTTGGCTCACTGAACACAGCCGACACGATCACAAAAGAAATAGACGACATTGACATTATTTTCCACATTGGAGACTTATATTATGCAACGGGGTATATTTCTCAATGGGATCAGTTCACGGAACAGATTGAAGGAATGACTTCACGTGTCCCTTATATGACGGCCAGGTATACTATACACAGGAAAAAAGGATAAAATTTTGAAGTGCATATCATTAACGGGATTGGCCTACTCGGTTTATAACACAATGGACTCCGGAAGTGATGGGTGCTTTCATCAACTGTCCTGTCAAGAACAGCGTAAAGTTCCGTAGGGAACGAATAGTCATAGGAAAAGTTCTAGTAGGTCTAAGAAGCATTTTCTTTTGCAGGTATTCGACGGATTACGGGCTTTTCCACTTCTGCATTGCCGACTCGGAGCACGACTGGCACGAAAAAAGCGGGCAGTACAAGTGGATCGAGGAATACCTCCCTAGCGCGGACAGGGAAAAGCAGCCATGGTTGATATTCATCGCTCACCGCGTCCTTGGCTACTCTACGTGGTACTTAGCAAGAATGCAACTGCGGAGCCATTTAGGAGGGAAAGCCTGCAGTTTGTGGCAAAAGTACAAGGTGGACATCGCCTTTTGCCACGTCCACAACTACGAGCGATCCTGTCCGGTTTATGGGAAACTCAATGAGACGATTCACGTAGTCACGGGGCTTCGCTCACGCCATTCCTGTCGCCAATGCCGGCTTGGAGCGTGAAGCGTGACTATGACTACGGTTACTCGAAGATGACGTGCTGCTACGATAGGGAATTCAAAGACGTGCTCGGCTGCGGCGCTGCAAACGTGTTTTATCCCTAAGTTTTAATAGATACTTCGTCCTTTTTATGTTTGACGAATTTCTTCTACTATATCAAAGAGTGATCAATTGCATTGTGGTGTGATCCAGTGAGGGAGAGAAACAGAGAGGAGATTATAACAAGTGCAAATGAACCCAAAACAAAAACAAGTGAAGACTAAGTTCTACACGCACGAACTACCAAATAACATAAAGAAGTTGAATGAATCAAAGTGAGCTATAAGCTATGGACAAAGTTTTTTCGCGCTGCTGGCACGTCTAGTGAATTTGCTTTGCTCACATTTGGAAGAAAAGCCCCCGCTCCAGTTCCTATGTTTTCATTAGAAGAGCGGGGGCTTTTCTCACTGTTGAGGCACGGATGGATCTGCTTCCGATCCATGCATCCTGGAGGCGACTCGCCTTTTGAAGTAAAAAAGAAGGAAAGCATCGCCACTCATCATCATACTTCCACAAGGCACGGCAGTGTGTATTCCTCCAAAGACGGGAGTCCTCTGGCCTTCCTTTCAGGAAGGCCGCGCAAATATTGTTGAGCGCGCAAAGAGCTTGAACGAGGTGGGATCCTTTTCAGCAAAGACCGTGCTGCACCAGCTCGCAGTGCAGATTTCATGCTCTAGCATCGTCCCGCACTGCGGCATTCCTAAGTGGGATGAAGGCTCTAGAGGAGAGAAGGCTTCCTCCTTGTGGATTTCATGGGGAAACCACACACAAAAAAGAAATCAAACAGAAGAAGAAAGCCATTGCACCTCGTTTTTTATCTCTTGCGAGCCGAGAGGAAAAGCTTTTCTCGCTTTGTCCAGCTTTCCAAACGAATTGACGAGCCGCTCAGCTCGCACCTTGGTGTTCTCCTCTTATTGTGCAAGAACAAACATTGTGGATCCAAAGCAGCAGGAGCAAGCGAAAATTTCCATTTCATGGGCTTGAGGACGATTTGCCACAGCCGCCACCATGCTGGTCATAAGGACTCTGCGTGGCTGTTTTGATCAAGCGTTGGGTGGTAAAGAGCCTGCCCCCACAATGGAAAGGTGAAAAGTGAAAGAAAAGAAGAAAAGAACTCCAAGATGGATAGTCTCTATCTGCCTCCACAATTCAAACACAACTAGCTGTTATATCCAAGTTTCTCGCACTAGAGCTGTAGTCGTGAACGCAGCAAGCAAAGCAATAACAAGAAAATCACCTAAGCATTCCACATACGAGCCGCCCGCACCGACCCGTGCCCGCGATGGAGGGGATGATAAAGCCCATGCAAATCGAGTGAAGAGAGAAGATTTTCCTGACGAGTAGAGACCCAGTAGACGTGTCTAGCTGGACTCGAGCACCACTGGATCGCGCGTGCGAGGAGGGAGAAATTGAAAGGTGGATGGGCGATCTAAATACCAAAAGCCATTTCAGATTTATGGAGTTTAATCTTTTATATATTTCTTAAGAAGAATGTTGAGGTCAGAACATCAAGATGGAATTACCTATCCCTACGTAAGAACTATCTCTTAATATCTGTCTTAGCCACTACTTGGACGAATGCATCAATCCCTTGCTTTGTCTTGGTTGTGCAGATCAGTACACTTTGAATTATAGAAAGCTAATTAGAAAATTAACAACTTTTGTTATGTGTACTAATTTATGAAATTAAATGTTCTCCTTTTTCTTTCAATCACAATTTTTATTTATTTATCTATAAACTTAAAGAGTTAAACATCATTTTTAGCTAAAAGTAAACAACATTTTCATTCTAGAAGTTTGTTTCTAATCTGTAAGTACATAAATGAACATTAAGTTACTATCACCATGTGCAGGTATGTGTATTCTCCCTTTAGTGACTATTATATTG